TTAAGTAGTATAAACAAACTGGCATTAGCTAGCTCAAGAAAAGGAAGTTTACTGCAAGGGCTTGGATTGAAAAACAAAAGGACTAGAATTACAATAGAACCTGGCCTTGAGATGCTGGAGCAGAATGGCTGTTCAGTTTCCAGGTATCAGATCTACATACATACTTGTTCCAACTGTCCTGTCGGGTAACACTGCAGTTTTTTTCTGTTCTACTGCCTACAAGCTTTCTCAAACTTTGTGGCCCCCCATGGTTTTGCACAATGCCCTCCAGCAAATTCTTACTTCAAATCTCCAAGAAATATGATTGTCTCAGTGTATCTTTTGTGATGGTCAGAGATGGAGAGCCAGCGGATGGATTGGATCCCAAAGTCAAGGGCCCACTCTAGTCCAATCAGTGTTACCTGACTGGGACTACCTGATGGGACTAAAGCCACCTAAGCAGAGGCTCTGGATTGAGCAGTTCCCACGGAAGAGCGATGGACATATAGGTGATTTTAATTACAATTGTTAATAGGTTAGGACTGAGGAAAAATGGGCCGGATACCTACCCCTGCTCATTCTGGGGTATCTTAAGCACATAGCAACAAGACTATAAATAAAATTCTCTACTCATTTTGTTGCCTGTTCGGTTTCTGCCAATTGTATCTATTGATAATTGATATATTTGGATATGCAACTGCCAAATGAAATATCTGGAGCTGGGGCAGAGCTCTATATGCATAATATGCTATTATGTAGCCCATCATGATTTTCATTATTTTTTTCTTGAAGCAAATTCTTCTCACAATTAGTCATCCCACCAGCAGGTAGTATATTGTGATGTAAGGGACAAGACAATCAGTCCACATAAAATCTCCTTATCAATAGACTCTCCATTAATTTTTGTTTAATAATCATTGTCAAGTTTACGGATAATTCCTACAAGCAAACAAGTAAGAGTTTAACTTTTGTTTATTAAAAACATTTTAGTTGTATTAAATCTTACTTGTATGTACATTGTATCCAAATGCCTAGAAATACTAAGTTTTGGGATTTTGAATCATACTGCATTCAAATGTCTAGGAGACCTATCTTTTGTTTTTTTTTTTTTAAAACATTATGAAGGAGTTAATTGAACTGTACTGATTTCAAGAGCTACATTTAGGAAGTACAGTTATTTTGAACTACATTTAGAACGGTAACAGATTGTGTGAATTAAGTAACTTCCAAGCTAAAACTTATGATAGCTTCCTACCGCATAATGATTACAATTACAACCATCCTGGGCATGCTAAAGTAACAACACACGGCTGTTCTTTTGGGCTCCATTGTTCTTTTTACAAGGGTTACTTGGGCACTATAGAATTTGGACAGTTATGGGAAATTATTCATTGTTATTTTATTTGCAGTATTAATATGCTTTAAAGGATTGATACATGGTTATTACTCCTATAGGCATTATTAAATTCTTCAAACTCCTTCAACTATTTTCTAAGGGTAAATTAAGTCTTTTAGACAGCTATGATGCCATCTATTTAATAAGGTGTTATTGTGAACGTGAACTTTTTTTTTTCCTTTCCTGGTTCTGGGATTCTTGGTCAGTTGATAGGTAGATAGAAGAGATCCTCAAGAGAAATAACTATTCCTATTAATTTAAAGAATTGGAGTTTCAAATAGTTGATGTGAATTTTTGAGATGTCACCTTCCAAGCAGTCATATCCAGTTATAAATATATAAAACTAAATAATGGTTTAAAATAAGGAGATTAAAAACAATCATGGCAAGGGAAATATTAGTAGAAAGTCAAGGACTGAGGAAAAAGAAGGGAAATATTTGGTCACTTTGGTTTATATAAGTGTTAGAACTGAACTTTATATTTAGTTATACGATTTCTATCAGCCAAACAGAGTAAATTACAAAGAAGAAATACATTTTAGTTCCTCAGTGGCAACAAATATTTTTGCCTTACAAAAGTTTTAAAAATATTTTTATAGATAAATATAACGTATACACACAAAAGTACACAAAACAACATATTCAGCTCAATGAACTATCACCAAATCACAACTAGAACAAGAAAAAGAACAAAGCCAATACACCATATTACTGCCCCCCATTCCCTTCTAATCATTGTCCCTTCTCCCCCACAAGGTAACCATTATCCTGACTTTCATGATCATCAATTACTTGATTATTCTTTATCATTTGAACACTTAAACTTACAACCCTATACAACATGTTTACATGTAAATGGAATTATATAGTATTCTTGGGAGAGAAGAGGCTGGGAGTCTGGCCTCTTTTGCTCAGCTTTATGAGATTTTCCACATTGTTGCATGGAATTGCAATTTTTCTTTTATATTGCTATGTAGCATTTTGTTGAGCAAATATAGCTCAATATAGTTAACCCCTGTACTTTTTTTTTTTAATATATTTTTATTATTTTATTAACCCCTGTACTCTTGAAGGGCGTTTGGCTTGCTTCCACTTTGGGGTAATTTTGAACTTTACTGCTAAAAACATTTTTATAAAATGTATCTTGTTGCACAGATGCATCCTGCATTTCCATTGGTTATATTCCTCAGAGTGGGATTGCTAGACCAAAACCTGTTTTCCAGAATTGTTGTACCAAGTTATTCTCACCAGCAGTATGTGACAATTCCTACTGGTTGGGTCCTTAGGCTCTGGGTGCCTCACAGGCTGCAATCAAGGTATTGGTTGAGGCTGTGGTTTCAACTCTAGTTTCCTTAACAACCCTATTGTCCGTCTTAATTTTAGCCATTCTGATGGGTGTTGAGGAGTACTGTATTATGGCTTTAGTTTCCATTTTCCTCCTTACAAATAAGGTTGAGCACCTTTATACAAGTTTGTTGGTCATTGAGATTTTCTTTTGGAGAGCCTGCTAAAGTACCTGACCCATTTTTCTTATTTATGGTCAATCACCTTTGTAGTTTATATCCATTTTTCATATACTTTATATATGGGCCGTAACTTGGCATCTGGTAAATATCTTCTCCCAATCTGTGCCTTGCCTTTCATTCTCTAATCTTGTCTTTGGATAGACCTAATCTTCAGTGATCAATTTAATGTACTCAAGTATGTAATTATTTTCTTCATAGATAGTGACATTTTTGTTCAATTTAAAAATCTTTCCTGTCATTAAAACAATTTATAGACATCTCCTAGACATTAAGACATCTCCTAGACATTAAGAAATCTCCTAGAATGTTAATTATTTTATTTCTTACAATTAAGTGTACAATCAACTTGCACATCATTTGATTTGGGTTATGGTTTGAAATAGAGGTTGTTTCTTCTTTTTCCCACAGTGTGAATATCAGATCGACCAAGCACTGTTTATTACCTAAAAGTCCTTTTCCCACTGCTTAGGAGTATCATTTTTGTCTTAAATCAAGTGTCCATTTATGTAAAGGTCTGTTTCTGAACCATCTAACCTATTTCTTTCATGTTTGTCTATCCCTTAACCATTGCCACAGTGTCTTAATTTCCTTGATTTTAAACGAGGTACCCATCCAACTTCATTATTCTTCAAGAGATCTCTGAAAGCTTCTTGGATATTTTTGATACTTTGCATTTCCATATACATTTAAAATAAGCTTGTCATATTACACACCCCCACACACACACATACAGAAATCTACACAAATACACCTACGGCAATTTTGAATGGATTTCCTTTGAGTCAATTTGGGAAGAACTAAGGTAAAAGTATTGAGTCTTGCGACCATGAACATGGTGCATGATGTAATCTTTTTTTTTTTTTTTTTCAAGATTTTATTTATTCACTTGAGACAGAGAGATACAGAGAGAGAGATAGAGAGAGCAGGAGCAGGGGGAGAGGCAGGGGTAGAGGGAGAAGCAGGCTCCCCGCTGAGCTGGGAGCCCAACAGCCGGCTGGACCCCAGGACCTAGAGGATCTGAGCAGAAGGCAGATGCTCAACCATTTGAGCCACACAGGTGCCCGGGTTTAATCCTTCTTTCACAAGAAAAGTATTTTTCTTATGATTTTCTTACTAACATTTTTTTGTAGCTTACATTATTGTGAGAATACAGCATACAATACACACACAAAATATGTGTTAATTAACTTTATGTTATAGGAAGACTTCTAGTCAACAGCAATAGGCTATTACTAGTTAAGTTCATTGGGAGTTAAAAGTTACAGTAAATTTTTAACAGCATATGGATCAGCACCCCTAACACTTGCCATGTTCAAGGGTCAACTGTATTTAAGTCTTCGATTTCTTTCAAAATATTTCATATTCTCTGTAGAAATGTTGCAATTTTGGTTAAATTTATTTCTAGTTATTTGGTATCTTGCATGCTACTATAAATCATATTTATTTTTTAAAGAAATTTTATTTATTTACTTGAGAGAAACAGAGACAGAGATGGCGACAGAGATAGCAGGAGAGAGGAAAAGATGAAAAAGCAGGCTCCGCTCTGGGCAAGGAGCCTAATTTGGGGATTCCTGGATCATGTACTGAGCCAAAGGCAGTCGCCCCAGAAATCGTATTTTTTAAAAAGTCTATGTTTGTTCCTAATACAGTCAGACATAACTGGTCTTTGAATATTTACTTCGTATCTGCAACTCCGTTAAAATAGTTTATAGATTTAATAACTTCTACACTTTTTGGATTTCTCTATGCACACATCATCTATGAAGAAATAGGTAAATTTTTCCTTCCTAGTCTATACCTTTTATTTCTTCTTTAAAATACTAAACCCGGCAATTATCTTAATCTAAGTAATGTGTAACTCCAGCTGTAAATTCAGTAAAAAGATGCTAGTGGATTCAAGTCCCTTTCCACCCCACATACTCTCACTCAACTACTACGACCAGCTCACTCCCCCTTCCAATCACTTTCACTCCTAAAGAGTCTGAGCCTCTAGAGCCCAGCGAGCTTGGAGGCAGGCTGCGGAAGCGCGCGCCGCTGGCTTCGTAACCGCGGCGTCCCGGGCACGGCGACCGCCCCGCCCCTTGCCCAGACGCAACCAATCAGCGGCTGTCTCTTTCGAGCGCCCATCGGCCAAAATGGCGTCGGCCGTTGGCGCCGAGTCCGGCTTGTAGTTCCATTGCCTTACTCCTCCGGTTGCAAAATGTGAAAGGCGAAGGGGCTGGTAAAAGGGGGCTGTAGGCAATGAGTCGGCGAAGGAAACATGGGGACAGCCCTGGCCTGAAGAACACGCCGCGCAAAGCGGCGGCGGCTGAGGAATGCAGCTCGATGGTCGAGCCAGGGAAGAGGCGGCTGAGGTCGGCCCGCGGCTCGAGGCCCCGCAGGGCCGGAGAGACGTCTCCCCGGCCCGTGCCGCAACAAGAGCAGCCTCCAGCAGCCGCTTCGTGCAGTAAAAGTAACCCCGAGGGTGAGACGTCGGCAGCGCGGCCCCTCCGGGCTTAAGCGCTGCAACCCCACAGCCCTGCTTGCAATGGGGAATTCTAGGGTGCGGGTGCGGGTGGGGGTGGAGTCTGAAGTGTTTTCTTTCTCTGGGCTTCGCCCCTCGCCCCTCGTGAGTTCGAGAGGAACAGGACGCCACTACCCATGGTTTTAGGCTCCGAATTTGAGTTCTGCCACGTTCCGTTTGACCATCTACTTGCTGCTTCTGCTGTAGGAATAGGCTCTTTAATTTACCTGTTTGAGGGAAGGAGGGCGGCTATTTCTAGACTGCTCCAGTCACAAGTGGCAGAGCGAGGAAAACTATCGGATAGACTTGCTGCCTTCAGCTTATTTCCAGGAGAATTGCCCCATCTCGACTTTTCTGCCCTGGCTTGCTCCAGTGAAGGGGTCATATAAAAAGCTCTAGCTATCTCTACCATCCTCAGTTTGGGTGATATCTCCCTTCATGATTTATAAACCGGAAGTTCCTGTGTATGATGTCCCTCCAAGTAGGAAACTTAAGGGCCCCTGAGTATTTCATTCTGGTCAATTTTTGGTGTTCTATTTTTTCAGAGATTTCTAATAAATCCCGGTAGGAACTGAAGTTTACACAAAAGCTCTTTCTACAAGTGTGTTCTTAAAATACGACTTTTGTTATCTTACTTGTCTTTACTCCCATGAAGCAATTCTGGAATGAACAAAAACAAATGTTCGTAGAAATTTTAAAAGTGATACTGGAGAAAACTTCACAGGAAATGGGTAGCTAAAGTTTTTTGAAGTAATCAGTGTAAGTTGGATAGAGTTGATGAAAGGGGGCTAAACAGACTTTTACTTAAGTTTCTTCTGGGAGCTTTTTGGTTTTTGAAATGTATCTTTAAAATTACAGGTGGTTCCCAAAGCCTCCAAATGCCGGTGGTAATGAATGGAGTGAATAAATTATACAGTATTACACATTCATAGAGCTACTGGGTTATATTAAAATACTTGCTATTTATAGTGTCAAATTTGTGAAGTATTACAAGGATTATTATGTGAAATATTTCAGTTGTTATTAAAGTAATATCTCTGGGAGAAGATTTTATAATTGGACTATAAAAAGTAATCTAAAGGATATGTGACTTTGGGGTATTAGGAAGTAAAGTAATGCTTTACAATGCAATAATTGTTTTTTTAATCTTATTTTATGTAGAAAGATATGAAACACCAAAGAGAGTCCTGAAAATGGATATATTGTCATCTGCCTTCAGTTCTCCTAATGATCCAGATGGACAGAATGATATCTTTTGGGATCAGAATTCTCCAATGACAAAACAGTTAGGTAATTTATTAATTTTTTTATCTGGGTAAATATTTGGCAAATGAGTAGGATTTAATTATAGCATTTCAGTAGGGTAATAACAGAACTTTTATACAACAGATGTTTTTTGAGAATCTTATGTGTTTGTTATGGTACCTATATGATGTCAGTGCTTAGTGATCTAAGCCGTGCTAAATTAAAACTGTTTTCTAAGAAATGACTGCTATTTTTAAAATTAAGTTTTTTGTTTACCATTTATAGAAGTGTCTTTGTTCTTTAGGTAAAGGAAGAAAAAAACAGATTTACACCACAGATAGTGATGAAATCTCACATATTGTTAATCGTATTGCTCCTCAGGTAAATATCACTAGTTTTATATTTCATTTTAAACCTATGAAAACTATACCAATAGGTCCATATATGAAAAATGTTTGTCTTTTACAATTAGGTTTTCTGAAAATAGAGCACCAAAGGTTACTTTTACCTTTTACACTACTGAAATGTATATTTTGAAGAAGGAATATAATGTATAATTGGCAATATATATTTCCTTAAGCATATATCCTATATTTTAATTTTTTTAGAGTAATAATTTTGACTGTTTTTAATGTTTAACAATATACGGCACTATTTTAAAAGTTATTAAAATAATAGACAATAAAAATTTAAACTTTTTAATGTTTTTTGTGATTGGTATTTGTTTATTGTCTATAGCACACTTCTTTCCCATTGAAATTGCTCTTCTTAATATTTGTGGACTAATACAATCATTGAGAAGCACTCATAAAAGTAGAAAACACTGGATTTGAAGTTAGTTCTCAGCCTGCCTCCTATATTGGGTGACCATAACCTAAACTCTCAGAAATTTAGTTCATTCAGTCATCAACTAGAATTACTTATCTTGCTCTCTCCATTGGACTATTATGAGGATTAAAGTAGATAATTCTTTGTAAACATAGAGCACTATAAATGTAAGGTTATTTTAAAGTTCATTATGATAGTTAAATTATATGCTGTCATAGAACCATCTTCAAAAGTTTCTTTTTTCAGTTCCTGTACCACTTGAATGAAATAGAAATACAAGTTTAAGGCAGCCTCTATTCTGAACCTCTTTACTGTCCTCTCTCCTTTTTCTTATTTAACAATATTTGAATTCAGAAAACATCTAGTTTTTGCTCAGTGTCCTCTCTGTAGGGATTTTTTCTTGACATACCCTTGGATAGTGACTATATGTTCACCATAAACAATAGATGGCATAGTCCCAAACTGTGGTTACAAGGAATTACCATCATCCAGGTGGAGGAGACAGGAAATAAAGTTTTTCTTAGTGGCTATAAAATATCCAAAATTACAATTTGCACAATCAAAACAACTTTGTTGCTACTAGCTCTGCATTCCATGTTTGGCATGTCATAGAAATTCATTTTACATATGGTTCATTAGTTAATAGCTTTTATAACATAATACTATTTACTTCATAAGTTAACAATAGGCCTTCATTAATTGTGGGTTTCACATGAAAGCAGCAATAATAAAATGTGTTTGGACTGGCCAGCTTAAGTAGTGATAAAAAGATAGTTGAGTAAATTACTGGACCCTTTACCTAAGGGTCTGGAAGTAATAGCTCACATAAAGAAATGGCAACAATATGCAAGTGGTAACTTGTATATAAGGAAAACTACAGTAAAATTAGTTGCTTTTAAATGGTACTCTTTTCAACTAAAGCGTGTAGATCTTTGGTAGTGTAAGATTATCATGTTCTCAGAATGACATATTCATGTTTTTTATTTTTAGGTGAGTAACCCCCTCAAGTAGTTATTTAAGTCACCTTGGTATTTTCAGAGATGGCTTTTTCTTTTTTTTCCAAATATGCACTTCAATTTTCCCTGGACAGTCATTTCACTTTCTTGAGGGTTACTTTTCATATAGTATTGTTAGTCATCATTTTTGTACAACTCTACTCAGGATATTCTCTAGGATTAAATGAAGTAATTTGTTTACATACCTTATATAGCACCTGGATTGTAGTTGGAAAACAGTAAATTATGCACGTATTATTGAAGAGATTTTTAAAATATAACACAAATAGTATAAAAACATACATAGGGCCCTTGTATATATAAAATTGGATATATAAAGTTGGCATACCTTTATTCTCTAAAAATTGAATGAATTTTAAAATACTTGATAAATGGACAAAGGGTCCATCATTAAATCATTAAGAATATTTTCCCTAATTCAGAGTTGTTGTTGAAACAAAAGTGAAAATATATATTGAGTCTGAAAGTAAAATTATTGATTACTGGATTATTTTGTGAAGCCAAAATCTAGGTTCAACTGGACATCTAAGAAAACTTTGTTGATTAAGAATTTTAAAGTACCAAGTTGTAGGGATATTTTCACCTAAACCTAGTAAATAAATATAAACTGATAGCTTCTTCATGCCTAGCATTTTGCTTGATGCTGATCATAAGATCAGTCCATGCTTTCAAGTATCCTAACCTACTGATAAGATTACTTTTAGCTTGTGTGATAGTTATTTATGTTCATTCTAAGTACTCTGTTCATCCTAAGTACAAAAAGAGGAGAAAATTGTTAAACCATTTGATTTGTTGGTCTGTAACTAATGATAAACTCATTTTCTAATTTTTTTGCATGATCAACTGACTGAAAGGAGTAGCAAAAACATCCGGGATTAAAATGGCCCTTTGTTTTCCTTTATAGTGGTTAAATTTTCTTTTCCTGCTTTCTCTACTTATTTTTGTTCTTATCCCTGCCTTTCTTAGCATCATTTCTAACTTTGCACTTGACTCTGTCCTGAGTTTAATTTTAAATGTTTTCTATTCAGGTCAACATAGATTGTCCTACCTTAGATAAAGATTATAATAGGATAGGGAAAATTTGGAGAATCAGGTGATACAGAAAGAATTCCATATGTTTCTCTCTATTCTTAATAAGTCAGTTTTCTGTTGAAAAAAAAAAAGACTGCTTTTACTGTTGAATATGTATTAGTTAATTAAATTCTTAAAATTAATTTTTTAGAAAGTAAAAATTTACTAATTCTGAATGTTTTCATTTCCTGAAGCATATAAGGATCACTTCTTACAGCTTTTTATTGCCATCCTCCAACTTCTCATTTTTCTCGAATTTGTTTAGTAACTGTCACCTTACCAGAATTTATTGCTTTAGGAAAATAATTTAGTGTAGATAAAGTTTTCTTTTCTTTCTTTCTTTCTTTTTTTGGTATGTAACTCTTTTTTTCCCCCTAAAGTTTTTTCTTTTCTTTTTCTTCCTTCCTTCCTTCCTTCCTTTCTTTCGCTCTTTCTGGTATATGACTCTTTTTTTTCCCCTTCTTCTAAAGGATGAAAAACCAATAACAAACTCCATGCTAGGCATGTGGATTGGTGCAACTGCTATTCCTTGTACTCCTAGTGTAGCAAAAGGAAAATCAAGAGCAAAAATCAGCTGCACAAAGTAAGTTCAAACTTTTCATCTTTCCTGAGATTCAGTGGAGTAGATATTTTTAATAATATTCTGTTTTGGTTTTGTAAATAAGTAACATCAAAATGGCTATAAATTATATTTTTTAGGTTTGACATGTAGAATTTTAGGCTCACAATAATTGTGTTAAAATTTTGAGTTTTAGTATATTAAAATATGCTTAATAACAGTTGAAAATCTATAATGACTCTTTGATGTTTTCTTAGTTATAATTTCTAAAATTTTTTTAATAGGTTAAAAACACAAAATCGAGAGGAAGAACTTATGAAATTAGCTAAGCAATTTGATAAAAATATGGAAGAGCTAGATGTGATTCAAGAGCAAAACAAAAGAAATCATGATTTTATCCAGGCAATTTCAGAAGCAGAGACTTTAAGCAATTATAAAGATAATATACAGATGCAGTTATTACATGATACAGTTCCTGAAATAGATAATTCTATAATAAAGAAGCCAATGAAAGAAAATACCAAAACACCTATGGAAAATGATCAGAATAACAGTCAGAAGCCATTTGACCAAAATGCTGAAGCAGCCTTTAATGCCATTTTTGATGGCTCTACTCAGAAATGTAGTGGACAGTTCAGCCAAGATTTGTCAGATGCTCTTTTGAACATGAGTAATACCACCTTGGGAAAGAAAAGCACTTTAAAAGAGGAGAAAATCATTACGAATGAAAGTCTGTCAGATAAAACTCCAGGATCACTTTTTTGTCAAGTAGACACTCCTGGAATCACAAAATCATGTGTGACTTCTTATACTGAGAAGCAAGAAGCTTTCCATAAACCCCTTGATACATTTACTACCAGTGATTTTGAGGATGATTGGGAAAACTTACTAAGTAATGAACCTTTTGTTATGCAAAATATCAAAATGTGTGAACTTTTCCCTGCTCCTAAAACAGCCCAGATTGCTGATCAAAAGGGAATTTATAATTTTAACAATAAAAATGATAAAAATAAGTCAAGAATGAATACAAGTCTAGATACCAGGTTAAAGGATTCAAAAATTTTACAGGATCTCCTTTCAAAGACACAAAACAAGGAATTAATAGATTTTGGAAAATACGGGTCTTCAGTAAATCCAAACGATAAACCAAACAAATTACCACCCACTGGAAATAAAATGAAATTTGAGAAATCTTTCAGTAAAACTGTTGTTCAAGACAAAATTCAAGACTGTGCAGTTGCATCTAACCTGACAAAAGAAGACAGGCACACTAAATTTACTTCTAATGTAAATACTTCTGAAAAGTCAACTTTGAACACAGGACATTGTAATGAACAAAAAAATAAGTCCACTTATAATCAGTCTTTTAAAGCACCTGCTAATATAGATAATTTTGGCTCTGCAACTTTGGGCATTGAAACCAGTGTTTATAATCCGAATCAGACTAATGCATCAGAGTTAGGTTCTTTCTTTGATGACTGGAATGATCCATCATTTGCCAATGAGATTGTCAAAGCATGTCATCAGTTAGAGAATACCTGGGAAGCAGATGATGTAGATGATGACTTATTATACCAAGCATGTGATGATATTGAAAGACTAACTCAGCAACAAGACATTAGAAAGGACAGCAAGATATTAGAAAGTAAACTGGAGATCAATAATAGTTCCAAACATGGAGCCAAAAACATGTTTACTACATCTAAACAAGAAAGTCAATCAGTGCAATCAAAGCATTTGAATCTGAGCAGCATTTCAGGCCATGTATCTTTCACAAACAGCTTACAATTAAATAAACCAGTGAAGATGGAAAAAGAAATTTGTGGAAATTCTCCAAGCTTTTTAGGTGCTACGACTAATTTAAAAATATACTCTAAGAACTCAGATTGTCAGATCAATAGTCTACATTATTCCTGGAATAACACTGATTTTCCAGTACAAGTGAGTAGTACTGAATCAGTTCATATGGGAAATTCAAGTCTGAATGTGAATTCAGACCACTGGAGTACAGAAACTGCTACTTACAAGAAGAAATTAAGTACTCAGCATCTATCCCATAGGAGCACAACAGATGGAGCTAAGAGTGACCTTAACAGATCAGTTAGATTTCCTAAGTATACATTTCCGAAGATGAAAAATTCTCAGGTTCTTTCCCAGTTTAATCAAGATTGTATGCCAACCAATATTTCTCATACCAAAATTACACAGGGTTTAGAGAGAAATAAAGCTGTCAGCCCATTTTGTGGGAAGACTGTTCAACAGCAGTCTTTGGTGAAATGTTCTGAATCTTTGAAACAACCTTCAAAAGGTATGTATAAAAGAGTTTTCTTTGAAAATTGTCACCTGGGAAAGTAGCTAAACTAATTATTTGTTATATTGAATTTGTGTAATAAAATTTTAAAAAATCACAGTGTTTAACTAGAATTCTTAAAGTGACTTACAAATAATTATACTCTAATATACAAAGGGTGGGTAATTTGTATTTTCGGAAGATTGCATTAAATTCTTTCTTAGCTTTTAATATGGTAACTAGTATATGGTTAGCACTCAATATTCGTTGAATGTTTTCTGAATTTCTTAGGAAATTACACTTTTAGGTAGATATATTGCTGTGAGATTATTTACTAAATATCTCATTGTTTCAAAACTTGAATCTTACTCCTATGTGTAGCAGACATTGAGGTGAACGATGTTTGAAAATTCAGAGCATTATAATTAAACACATTTTTACTATAATATCTGATATGAAATTGTTAGTTGTGATGGTTAGAACTGTAATTTGCTTGGTATAACCTGTCATCTTTGATTCTTCTGATTCTTCTCCCACAGTTCTATCAAGTTCCATTATTTCTAGTGGAAATAATACATCTCAAAATAGTCCATTTTTCTCACTCTTAACTGCTACCATCCTTATCCAAATCAACTTTTTTTTTTTACTAGATTGTAGTTCTTTTATCTGTCCCTTTTCAATTCTCTCCAAACAGTAGAATAATCTTTTCACAAACAGGCAAACCTGGCATTCCTCTGCTTAACCACAACCTTCAATGATGGCCTATCATTTTTCAAATAAAATTCCAGGGGCTCCTGGGTGGCTCAGTCAGTTAAGCAGCTGCCTTCACCTCAGGTCATGATCCCAGAGTGCTGGGATCGAGTCCTGCATCAGGCTCCCTGCTCCACGGAAGGTGGCTTCTCTCTCTCTCTTCCTCTGCCTGCCGTTCTGCGCACTTGTGCTCTCTATCTCTCTTATCAAATAAGTAAATAAAATCTTTAAAAAAAAAAAAAGAAAATTCCTACTCTGTGTTGATTTACAAGGTTCTGGATTATCACTCTTTAGCCTCTCTGTCTTCTTTTTTACCTCACCTACTCAGCTTCAACTACACTAGCTATCTTTGAGTTCCTTGAACAGAATAGTTTCTTTCCTAGTTCAGGAGCTCTGACTGTGATAGTCCCAACTAAAACGACTTCTTCCCAGCATATGACCTCCCATTCCTGTCTATTCATAGGTGCTTTTTTATCCTTAGGTCTCACCTTAAATATGACTTCCTCATAGAGACGTTCCTTGAACAATCTATAAATAGGTCAAAAGACTTATAATCTCTCTTATTTCCTTCATTTCTTTTACCACAATTTGAAAGCAAGTATTGATTATTGTCTGTCCTATCTGTGAATACCTAGGCCTGTCACCGCATCTGCCACTTAGAAGATGTTTATTAAGTATTTGAATGAATATCATGCCACATAATGTGAAAATCTGTTATTCACTGATGCTGTAATGCTTTATAAAGGGACTGTGTCTGGCATAACTACTCATACATCTTAATGCCCAGTTTTTTTTCACTGCCTCATGTGTTTACAGATGCTCTTTCCTTTACCAGAAACTTAGTGGTTTTGTGCCCCCATGTGCATATACCAAATCTGCCTAGCCATTTTCCACTTGTCCTTTAAAACACAGTATGTTTCTATCCACCCCGATAATTTAGCTTCACTTTCTTTGGGTTTCTCCAATACCCAGTGTTAACTTCCGTTACAGCAGTTACTATGCTAGCTTGTAATTATTGATTTTCTTAATCAGTCTTCCTCACTTGAGGCTAACATTAGGATTCTTATCTATTATGTAGATCAATGCTAATAAGGTGAGGGAGTTTTTAGGTGCTTTTAACATTAGATCGTTGTTTTCTGTTTAAGATTCTAGATGATGATTTTGTTGGCATTACCGCTACAACTTTCCTATTTAAGTACTCCCACCTTTTTTTTTTTTTAAACTTGTAACAGTAATATGTTGGTTGTTTAAAAAGAAGGAAAGAAAACAAAATAGATTAATTTGAAGTCAAAAATTAAATTCTCTGTTTCTCTTTTCTCACAGCCATTCCTCAGGGAAAAACCACAGTTAACAGTTTGGAATACATCATGTAGAATTTTCTGTGCATATGAAAGCATGTATGCATGTTTGTGTGTATGAATACATGTGTATACCTACACATTTATTTAATCAGATGGAATTATATACTGTGTACCTACGATTTGGCAACTTGGTTTTGCCTTCAGTAAATATAGCTATTTTTCCCTCTCATTCATGTAGTTTTGCTTCAGTCCTTTTAATGACTACATAGTATGTCTTTATACAGATATACCATGATTTATTTAACTGTTTCTCTATTGATGGAAAGTTCAGTTTGGTTGCCTTTTTGGCATTACAAACAGTCCTTCAGTGAATATACTTCTACATAAATTTCTCCATGCTCGTATGATTGTATGTTAATTATTAAAAAAATTGATGTAAGAGAATGTTTTGAATTTGATGGCTAGCACCAAATCTTCCCAAAAAGTTATATCAGTTTATATTTTTTTATCAACATTGACAACGAATACTTCCCTACATTATAACCTAGGTATTTTGAAACAATTCAAAAATTGTGGTCAATCTATAATAATTTTAAATATTTGAATTTATATTTAAATAAGTATAATTAATTGGACCATACTCAACATGAATTTAGTTACATATAGTTATAACTATATTAAAGACTACATCTCTGGAATATTTGAGTTTTCCCAAACACTATCCTTCTGCATTTTTTGTGTGTGGATAATCTTTCAGTTTCTTTCATCAGTTTGTTTGCATTTACTGATAGTACCTAATCTTCTAATTAACATTAATCTTCTTGATATTTTCTATTGTTTTTACTCTGTTATGTTGGAAGAGGCTCTCCAGAGACTATCTCTGAAACAAAACCCATTTAACTACCTTATTGTTATAAGGCAGGGTTGGGCAGACCATGGCCTATCTAAATCCAGCCCATAGCCTGTTTTTGTACAGCCAGCATGCTAAAATGGTTTTCACATTTTAAATAGTAGAAAAAATCAGGAGAAGAGTAATAATATTTCATGACCTTTGAAACTTTCATGGAATTCAGATTTCACCATCACTAAACAGAGTTTTATTTGAACACAGTCATATCATTTGTATTGTCCATTGCTGACTGTTTTCATGCTACAATGACAGATCTTAACACTTCCAATGAAAGCCCATATGACCTTCAAAGATTAATATATTTACTTTCTGGCCATTTACAGAATTTTTTTTCCCTTTTTTGCTGACCTCTGCTTTAGGATAAACATTAAGAAAAGCCACCCTTTCTGTGTAACTTGGAATAGTTTGAGACTTCGCCATGTATTTTTATTGAAGATTGAGTTAAAGGAAAGGCTGATGGGAGAAATGGATGTCTCTAAATCAAAATTTCATAGTGTGACTTTATCTACATCATTTGAAATTATTTTCCAAGAATATCACCAAGCCAGTTGTAGGGAACTATGTTCTTTTCTGCTGTCATGGATTATTAACCTGTTTTCCTTCCAAACTTATGGTCAGTACAGTGCAACTGTGTGTGTGTGTGTGTGTGTGTGTGTGTATTCTGAGTTTATGTTTCTCAGCTTTGAGACTAAAATAGTAGATAATTAGTCAAGCTAATTATAAAGTATCTTCTAGCATCTTTCTATAAGGAAAAATAGCTACAAATCTGTGAGATAATTAGTTTAGGAAATAAATAAGGCATCAGAGTAATCTGGGGAGTTTATCTACAATATTTATCTCAACCCTGAACATGCTCTCCCATTTCCAATTATACCAAGAAAGGAAAGGGAGACAGATCATTTATTTTGGACATATAATCTCCCTTAGTTAACAAGGGAAATGTCTTAAAGTCTGAACCTTTGTCTGGATGGTAGTGTAAATAATAATACTCTGCCAGCAGTACTACAGATTCTTATTCTATGAGAGGCAGATTTTACAAGATAAACAGTTTTACCAATATAAGGTCATATAAATTCAAGGTGATGGTCGTAATTTTAAAACATCCTTTAAATGAGAAAATACGTTTGCTAATCTTAAAGTTTGATTCTTATTAGCATTATGTAGATAATCTTTTAGCCCAAAGTGACTAAACTGTATACTTAAAAAGACATTCAAATTGGAGACTTTATTCAGATATTCTCCTCTTTGAAATTTCTAATGTTTATATAAAATGTATTCTCTAAATAAAAATATTTGACAGTGAATTATGTGCTTATTGTCATGATAGATTTCACCAGATCACTCTAAAACATTTGTCCTCAATGGCTAAAATGGAAATCTTGGAACTTTATAGAGGAAAAAAAGTTGGTATGAATATTAATATAGCTTATCTTAGAGGGAAAAATAGACTATTTGAGGTATTTATATTTAATTCATTATATTTTGACTACTTTTCTGTTAAAGTTTATATAATATTTAAAATCCCAGTTTTTTAAAAATACTCATTTTGTCGATTGTATAAATTAGATGTCCTTATTCACAAGAATTATGTGCTAGGAAGTTAAAATGTACAGTTTTAATCAAATGAACTTTATCGCACTGTGAAAAGGTATATAAAATAAGGACAAATTGATCGGTGCTTGATTTTCCTTTGGCCTAGGGTACTGTGTCTGTATGTGGAATATCGTATTTAGTAGTTTAGCATGATTTAATAGTTATACCAATATGGCAAGTCTGGATAATAAAAAAGTAAAAATTAAAATTCATATTCAGGATGCCTTTATAGTCTATAATAGTAATATCTATATTTTGTTTAATTTTTAGAGGAAGAAGAGAAAAATAAAAAGTATTCTCCTGAAGAAATTCAAAGAAAAAGACAAGAAGCACTGGTTCGAAGAATGGCCAAAGCACAGGCCTCATCTGTAAAGGCAGCTCCCACTTAACTTGATTTCTTTTATGAAATATTAGTTGGAAGACAAAGACAGTTAATAGCTATCTATGATAGGAAATATTTTTTCTTGATTTCTCTGTGAGAAATTTAATGCTGACTTATAAAGCATGGACTTTTTTTTTTAAATGGACTTCTGTTTTATTTAATAAATCAATGTTTGCAATAGTCAATGAAATCTTTCCTTGGAGAGGTATGTGGAAATAATTACATATAAGTTTTGAAAATTCAGGAGAGTTAGCAATTATGTTATAGAATTATACAGAGTAAAGTAGTATATTTTTAAATATTGTGGGTCATCCAAAAATAGGTAATCTACTAATTTTTTATTGTAATAACTCCCTAATATAAAGCTTCAACTCACTAAGTAAATAAGTATTTTTTTATAGTTTTACTTTCAATAACTTTTTAAGTTTTTTATATACTTCTGTATCTTAAAAATACTTTCATATTCTTAGGAACATGGTTGGTGGGAAATAAAGGACTTTAATTTATTTGTAAGGAAATTAGTATTTTCAGTTCCTAGTCTGAAATAGATCTTAATTTTAGTTTTCTAAAACATGTATTTTGGAAACCTTCCACTATTTTCAGGGAAAATGCTGATTTAAGAAGTTTGGGGGGAAAAAAAAGACTAGCTATATGAATAATATAGTATTATTAACATTTAGAACTGTCAGAACCTTTAGATGTCATTGGGTCCAACTTCTTTATTTTATGGGTGAGGAATACTGTTATTCTGGAAGTCACAAGGCAAATTAAAGCTATGCTGGGATTAGAATGATTTCTTTTATTCTAATGAACACCTAGACAATTATACCATTATACTTTCAAGTATTAGTATACAAAATAACTTGTTTGTAGGAGCATTAGTTATTTCATAGTTTAAAAAGAAAAATAGTAACTCAAAGTACATTAAGGACTGTTTAATAATAATGCTCATTGTTTCTTGTATTAAAGAATTCATTCCAGAATATAAAAATGAGAATCTTTCTCTTTTTAGTTTACCTATAACTATTTAATTTTCCCTTAACTATTTTTCTGACTTTACTAATTTGTTCATCTCTGTTACCTTATTTTTTCCTTTATGTCTGTTTAGAATTCACTAAGCCGGAAAAATCAAAGCAGAGGTCAGAAGACAGTAAGGATGCTTTATTTGTCTTAAATGGCTTTGGGAGACTTAATGAAAGGTATACATGTGAAACACCTATTAGTGCATTCACCACTATTCAGGTGTCTTAGAACTATGATAATATCAAAATAATTAAATGCATTTTAAGCTATGGCTATAGAGAGACATATCATTCTGAAAATTATATTTTCATATATACAGTAGAGTAACACATTCTTCTTCCTTAAGGTATTATTGGAACCAAAGAGATTAGTGGCCCTTCAGTGAACACACAGAGGGCTATGTAGATCATTTCTCTAGGGGGGCTTTTTCTGATCTTTAGGAAATCTGTTTCTACCCAGAGAAGAGCCAGTTGGTGCCTAACAACTGTATTCCACATCAAACTCGATTGCTGTTTATGCATCTCAGGTTGGCCATGGAAAAACTGACATTAATAATGCCATGATTTCAGGAAAGTCCACTGCATAATAGAGCCCATCTATCACTACTCTTTCTTGCTGCAGACAGGCAACCCTGGTCCCAGGAAAACTTGGTTTGCTTATTACACAGTCGAGTTGTATGCAGGCATATATCACACCTGGGGAAACAGTGCTTATATCATACTCTGTTATCATTAACTTTTACATTCCTGAGAACAGGGGCACCTTACTTATCTCTGTCTACCCAATACTGATATTCAATTGTTACTTATCAAATATTTTATGAATTTAGATATATTCTGATGGCAGAGTTCTGCCTCCCCATACTTAAAGCAATTTGACTCTGATTCCCTGAGCTATTCAGGATTAGGAAATGTTTCTAGGAACAATTTAAATTTAGCCTAATACTGATTAGTGTAAGTGACAATTTATCTGAAGTCTAACCATGATCTTCAATTCTTGCCACAATGAGATGATCAGAATCACTTGTGGGACTCAAAAACAAAACAACAAACCTGTGTTTTGTGCCTTCTTTAGACTTCATAAATGAGTACATCTAGGGATAGATTTCAGATATATGTGCTTTTAAAGTTCATTAGCTAATAGCCAGCAGGGTTGAAAAGAAACTGTAATTGCTAAACTTATGTAAGTTGCTAAATGCTTTATTTACCATGAATGATTTTAAGAAATTACCATAACTAATTTGCTTCTCAAAACTATGTAAATAACACTTCTGCTGCCACTTTACAAAAAAACTGAAATAAGCATATTAAGTGACATTCTCAGGGTCACACAGTTAGAAAGTAGTTTGAGCTAGAGTTGGAACCCAAGCAGTCTAATTTCAAGTACCGTGATCTTAACTGTTAAGAATACTGTCATTCTTGGAAACTATTCATAAAAATCACTTGTCTGTGAAAGTTATATGTACAGGAAAGAATTGCTACATTCCAGGCAAGTGTGACAAAAAACCCCACTAGAATTCTATAGCTTTAGCTCAGGAAAATTTTTTTACAGTCCTAGTTGCTGTTACAGATGACTCCTATACTGTATGGATACATGAGCAGGTGGGTGTGTACTGATTACATGAGTCCACACAGAGATCTTTTTCATTCAACCACTAAACAAAAGCATAGAGAAATACATAAAATGTATAGCTATTTAAAATGTCTTCATTTTACTTCACTGTTTAGTAACTTCTGGGTGTTCTGGTTTTAAATCTATTATGGAAAGCTTAATTGCCTAGTCTAAGATGAAATGGCATACCTCAAGCTGCTAGTAAAACTCTGATTCAAGTAATAAAATCGAGGTTTCTGGTTAGATTCATACTATATAGAAGAGTGGTATTCTGCATTTAATTTGTTACAATATGTTATTGTTAAATCCAAGCTCACACAGATTGTAATTGGGAAAAAGAAAAGTATTTTAATAGTATATTCAGATAATTATAAATATTCTTTTCTGATATTACAAAAAACTCAAGAAGTGGTAGTTTCTTAAAAGATAGCACTAACTTCTGTTTCCAGCCAAGATGGAATAATGACTGCATATACCCTTCTTGCTCAAGGAACCAAATAAACAAACTACATGGAAAAGTGGATATCAGGATGACCTGAGAATGAAGAAACAAAGGGAGCCCTACGATTTTCCCAGCTTACCGCCTTGAGGGAGTTTCCAGACCATGATGCAAGGAAGAATTGAGGAAGAGCCCAGTAGACATCATGAGTGAGAAAATGGAGCCAAGAGTCTAGAGAGACTAAGGTAGCTAGAATACACAGGACAGAGTACCTGTGAGAAGAGAAGACTGAATGCCAGAGATCTGCAGATGATCCACCTTGATAATTAAATTCAGTACTGATTAGCACATTTATGTGAGGAAGTGGAGGCTGGAGAAAGACATCCAGAGGAATTAGAGGGAGCAAACATTGTCCGGTGCTCACAAGCATCTAGTAATAATGCCAGTTCTCAACCAAGGTCACTGGGTAGTAACTCACCTGAGTAGTAGGGAATGATTTGCCCTAGGTTGCACTGCTCTGGGCCCACCCAACAAATCATAAAAGGAAGGTCAAAAAGGATCAAACCATTCCCAGATAACTGCATGCTGGAACAAAGCATAAAAATACAGAAAAACAAAAATGCCCAGCACCTATGAGAAAATTAACAATGACTACACTCTAATTAAAAATAACTAGGCATGCAAAGAAGCAAAAACACAATCTAAAATAGGAATCAATTGAAACAAACCTGTATCTGATGTAAATGTTAAAATTAATAGATGAGGCTATTAAAATAGCTGCAGCTATTACATGTGTTCAAAACTCAAGTAGAAACATGGAGGATATTAAAGAGACAAAACAAACTTTTAGAGATGAAAGCTACAATGTGTGAGGTGAAAATACACTATACAGGATGAATGGCAATTAACACATTGCAGAAGATTACTCATTAGTGAACTTGACATATCAATAGGAATTATTCAAAATGAAAAAAAAAAAAAACTTTAAGGAAAAGAGCAGTGAATTGTAGAACAACTTCAAGTAGCCTAAGGTACAGTTAGAATCTGAAGGAGGAAGTGGGGGGAGAGTATACAGGATATTTGAAATAAATAACTAAGAATTTTCAGACTTTATGGAAACTATTAACTCACAAATCCAAAAATTGAATGAACTCCAAGCACAAGAGATATTAAAACTATGAATCCACCTCATAGCCAGTATAAAACCATAAAAGCAATAAAAAAACAAAGATGAATATAATATCAGAATTTTCATCAGAAACAATCAGAGAAGACAATGGAGAAACATCTATAAAGAACTAAAAGGAAAAAACCCCTATGTAGAATTCTATACCCAGCAAAATGTCTTTCAAAGGCAAACATGAAATAAAGTTGCCGTCAGATATATAAAATTTAAAGAATTCATCACTGGCCCTACAAGAAATATTAAAGGATGTCTTTTAAGCAGACAGAAAATGATATTAAATGAAAATGTGTGTTTACATGAGGGAATAATGAACACTGAAAATAAACATAAGATTTTAAAAAATTATTTAAATCCTTTACATGATAATTGACTACTCATACAAAAATAACATTAAAAAAATGACAATAGCATAAAGGCCAGTAGGAAAAAAAATATGAAAGAGTAGACAATCGTAGTCTTGCACATTTTGGCATGCATGGGTTTCAGTTACATAACACCAGTTTCCTAACAACATAGTTCACATTTCTGTTAACACAGCATATTAGCTGTGAATACTTGGATAAAATACAAACTTTATAGCTAACTCAGTCCACATATCACTACATAAATAACAGACGTGGATTAGGAGGCATGATCAATCATGTCATTTAATTGTGACAACTGCCCAGTTGATGTTATTCCCAATTCAGAGCTAAGGAGACGGGTTCAGTTTTTCTATCCATATCTTAAAATCTTTCCCACAATAATTATTTTCTATGTTACACATTCAATACTCATCATCATTCTCATGGAACCCAACATGGGGCTTGAACTCGCAACCCTAAGATTAAGAACTAAACCAAGATTAAGAGTCAGGTGTTTGAGCCATGCAGGCAGTTCAGCATTCTTTGTCAATTCATCCATTCTTTTGCTGTGATTGGTTATGGTGTTACACAGGGCTGCTTCTTTTTGCTTTGCTTTGTTTTTAATACAATTGGACTTAAATAAAAATTTTAAATGTTTGGGGCGCCTGGGTGGCTCAGTGGGTTAAGCCGCTGCCTTCGGCTCAGGTCAGGATCTCGGAGTCCTGGGATCGAGCTCCGCATCGGGCTCTCTGCTCAGCAGGGAGCCTGCTTCCTCCTCTCTCTCTGCCTGCCTCTCTGCCTGCTTGTGATCTCTCTATCAAATAAATAAATAAAATCTTTAAAAAAAAATTTTTAAATGTTTAATAGAAAACATTTCCTTGTTTGGTATAAAGGATTTAGTAGTATATTTAAATGCAAATATAGAGAACATTGTTTAAGTGCCCAACAGCCCCGTTCCTTTTTTTTTTTTTTTTTAAGATTTTATTTATTTATTGAGAGCACAAGCAGGGGGAGTTGCAGAGGGAGAGG